TTTACTGCCAGACCTGTGGGAATGTCATGGTTTAGTCTGGGCCTAAACTAGGAAAGTCTCTATATTCCAATATTCCAGCCTGTTATTTACTGCCACACCTGAGGGATGGTTTAGTCTTAGGCCTAAACTAGGGAAGTGTCCATATCCCAATATTCCATCCCATTATTTACGTCACACTGAAAAGGGGATTTTGTAAAACCATAAAACGCAGGAAATTTAAACCCGAGGGGTCTTTTCCCCCAGAAACTCGGCGGGAGGAAAGTCCCGACGCATCGAGTAAATCCTTCCCTCGTTTCTTCCTTCCCCGGGGTTTACGAGGGATTTAAAACATTTAAAATTACAATTGAAACGGAATTAAATTTAAATTTAAAAGAGAGATGTTTTCCTCACACCTGAACCTCACCCTGAAGGACATTTCGACGTTCTCCCCCCCCCAGATCTCCATCTGGTCGTCGTAGGCGCCGAGGTGCTCGAAGTAGGACCTGGAGATGGCGAAGAGGCCCCCGGCGAAGGTGGGAGACCTGCGGGGGCAAAGGAGGGGTAAAATGCAAACCAAAAGGTGAGAATCCGAGTTTTGGGGATGTCCCGGGGGAAAACTCCACCGGGAAGGGGAAGAATCACTCACACAGAGGCACCAAAATTGAGGAAAACCCCGATTTGTTGGGAAAAGGGGCGGAACCGCTCCCCCAGGGGCACCAAAACCACCGATTTGTTGGGAGAAGGGGAGGAATTGCTCATCCAGAGGCACCAAAACTGAGGGAAAACCCCCAATTTGTCGGGAAAAGAGGCAGAATCGCTCCCCCAGAGGCACCAAACCCACTGATTTGTTGGGAAAAGGAGCAAAAGCAGCCGGATCAGGAATCCCCCCGTGCTGGGATTGCTGGATAGGGAAGGTCTCAGCCTTCCCCCAGGGGGAAAATCCACCGGGAAGGGGCAGAATCGCTCACCCAGAGGTACCAAAAACACTGATTTGTTGGGAAAAGGGGCAGAATCGCTCCCCCAGAGGCACCAAACCCCCGAATTTT